CTACACTCAGGTTCTGGTGATGAAGCAGGAAGCTGGTGAGGAGACAACAGAGCATTTTTGGAGCAGAGAGATCACCCCGGCTCTGTGAGATTAAGGGAGAAGGGGGAAGACGGTAGCTGATGAGAACCACTTCCTATTCCTGCTCCCATCCTTATTCTACCCAGGGTTACCCCAGAAGAGGGAGCAAGGCAAGAGCTGCTGGGAAGAACCTTGGCCCATCTAGAGCAACCTTTCACTCTCACTTGAATCCATAGGCAGCCCCAAGATCATGGAAATGCCTCATGACCACTGCACTGGTTTAAGGYTTCCTCCCTTGTGCACACACTCGGCTTCTTTCCTGAGACCTTGAGCTGTGTTGAGGCCAGAGACAGGGAGCCAGTCTCCCCAGAACCTGGGGCAGTGGGAATCAGGTGCTGAAGGTGAAGTGGAGGGTGACAGGTGAGGAAGGAGGCAGTACTATTGTGGGGCTGAGTGGGGCTAGGTGTGGAGCGATAAACCATGGGGAAACAAAGCCAGGACATTCAATTCTCCTGGATTTTTCTGACCATGTCCAAACACTCTGACCTGTGGCTCCCAGGAGCACACAGTATGAGGGAAGAGACATTTGGAAATCAGGGTCTGAATTTCATCCAGGGCAGTTGAGAGAAAGGATAAGGTGGGGAAGAGAGGAAGGAAATTGCCCTGGAGGAGACAAGTTCCATAACCCCCAAGAGCAGGTGCTACTAGGGTCCAGAGCCAGAAAAGCTGACAAGCAGGACCTGTCCCCAAGCCCTCTTTCCTGCCAAATCTCAGGTTCCACCCACCTCCTCTCCCACCTACTCACCCTCTTCCTTAAGTTGCTCTATTCAGCTGCCTGCCCCATTTTGTGTGCATACAGACCCTTTACCCATTTGAAGGCAGAGTAGGGTCCAACAAAACAGTTCATCTGTGTGATCCTACCTTCTCCTGGTGGATGCAAACATGCACCTTTGCTTTGTTCACACTGAATCCCCATTGAGTGTTTGGGGCTCCCAGTCAGGCAATCTGTAGATCACCCTCACCAAAGGACCTCAGCAGGCATGAATGACCAGCAGGCTTGTCCTTGCTCTGTAGCTGACACAACACTATTTTAGGTATATCCCAGGGTCACAGCCCATTCCAAGGCACCAAAGGAGAGTCTCTGCTGCCTTCCCAGATGCATTGGCAAAGGAAACCAGGCAGCTGCTCCTTGAGCATCCTCCTTCAAAGCTTCCCCAAAGCTGGATGGTCTGTGCCCTATTCCAAGAGCAATATCCTTCTGATTAAGTGTTGGGAGCTTAATAGCCTTGCCCTTGGACCAGCATGTTACCTAATTTAACCATTACAACAACCCAGGGATCTAAGCATTATCATTGTTAAATGATATGACCAAGGCTAAGGGAGTTTCAGCAACCTAAGTTCATGTGACTAGTGGGTGGCTCAGCCAGGATTTGTACCCAGGTTTGCCTGCCTGGGCCCACTGAACCCAACCTTCCACAGCTTCCCTCCTCTGCCTCCTCAACCTTGTCCCTACTCTCCCTACCTTTCATTGTATTGCAGAAAAACATCTGCTGCTTATGATCTCATTCAGTAAGCAGAGGTGGAACACAGAGAGCAGACAGGATGGGATAAGAAACCAGTAGTACACAATGGCATGGCATTTGGCACCTAGCAAAGAAAGCAGACCAGAGAGCAGCCCTCTGCACTGCACTCAGGGGGTGCGGGTACAGTGCCCTTGAGGGGGGTGGTCATCTCTTGCAGCACAAGCAGAGAAGATTTCATGGACAGAGATGGGCAATTTGCATCTTGAGGGTTAAATAAGATCCAAGCAGGCACTGATGGGAGAAGGGAACTCAGAGCAATAACATGAGGAACCAGGGACTGGTGATCACAATGGCAAGAGAAGCCATAGGAAGAGGAATATGGGTCTCAGAAGGTCTGGAGCCCTGACTGGAGGCCCGAACAAGTTGGAGAGGTATGTTCCACAGGGGTGGGCAGAGAAGGAATGATCCTGAACAGAAATGACTAGAGCTGCCATCCTTGTATTCTGGGAGCCCTGCCCTACTGACTGCCCTCCTCCTTGCCACAGCAGGAAGACCTGCTTCCTCCCTCTACATCCTCTCCCCTCCTCATTCTCCAGCTGGAGCACYGAAGGGAGCCATAGTGTTCTCACATTGTCCTGTTGAACAGTGAAGGTCCAGAATGACTCCAAGGTTCCAAGTTTGAATAACTTCAAATAGAACTGGGGATAAAGTAAAGAGCAGACCTCAGGAGGGGGAAGAAATGTTCAGTTTGGGACAGTTTAAGGATTCAAGTGGAGATGTCCAGTAAGAAATTGGGGCACCCAATTTCTAGTATCCCCCACCCCTAATTTTCTCCAAATACGGCTTGAAATTCCACTAGAGATGCTCTTCTTGGGAATTCCAAGGGTCTCACTAAAATCCAACTGTAAAGTCCCTGAGAACCTCCAGAAGACTTCTGTGTTGAGATGTCATGCTGTGYGTTGGTGTCGAGTCTGGTGAAGGTGGCTTGGGAAAGGAGAAAGGGGTGCTCACAGACAATGAAGGGTTGCTTTGGCCAGGCTGGCCCGAACCTATTACTGCTATTRCCTCTAGAAGAAGAGGAATCAAGGAAGCAGGGGTCTACAGACCTCCGCCTAGACTCAGGGTCTTCCAAGCAGCAATGATACCCAGGCACAGTTCTGTCCACGTCGCCATGGGACCCCACTGGTCTCTCCTCAAACTCTTCCCAATCGGATAAACCAGGCACTATCCTTCCCTGTGGCTCTGTCCTTGCCGTTCCTATTGGTGTAACTGCACCCAACTGGTGTGAACATGCAGCCCTGACCCTCTCCTCTGGCTCTAATGAATCCTGGACTTGAAGCTCTTTCAGATTTCAGGTTGCAAAAAGATGAAAACAGCCTTGAGCACCCACCTCTCCTCCTCCTCCTGCTCTGATTGTTCTGGGAAGGACAGAACTTCCAGAGGCATTTTTAACTTCTTGTTTTACCTAAGGCTTAGTGTCCAGGAGAACCAAGGGATCTCGTGGGTGGCCAGCAAAAAGCGAGAGGAGGGGACAGTCTGCTGCGTGGCCCATCTCCTCAGGCCTCAGGAACCCCTACTTGGCCACCCAGGAGAAGAAAGCCTTCCCCAGCCTAAGGGCAGCTGGCCAGTGACTGCCTCTGTGGTTATACYAAAGAAGGGTGCAGAGAGAAAATACGGGATGCCCCCTGGTGGTGGTTCTCAGCCTTGGTTGTTCTTCAGAATCACCTGGAAATTGTTCACCATGCTCACAGTAGGATCCTACCCTGGAGTTTCTGGTTAAATTGGCTGAGGGTGGGGTATTGGTATATTTTAAAAGCCCCTCACCTGAAGACTACCATGCAGCTTTGACTTCTAGTTTCTGCTCGAGGATACAAGCCAGCTCCATGAGGCTCCTTGGGCTGGACACAGTCTAGAGACCACAGAAGAGAGGATGTGATGTATCAGCGCTGCTAAAATGGACTAATGAACTCAGTAGGGCTGTACCTGAGGTGGCAGGTTTTCTCTGTCCTGTCCCTCTCAACCCATGTTAATACTAGGCTGCTTACTGGGGACCCTATGCCCAGCCAAATAGTGTGGCACACAGGGGTGGGCCTGCCAACTGGCTCAGCAGTTGAAACTGGCTGCAGATGGGGCAAAAGTGTCCCTTTCTCTGAGAGTTGCAAAACACCCTTGGGCTGGATGGCCGCCTTCACTGTGCAGCGTGGAAAGGCAGAGAGAGCAGTATAAGACCCATCTTGTCCTACTACCTCCCACAGGTTGGCTGCTCTCCTGGAAGCCCCCTGGCCATTAAGCCAGGGCCTCCATTACACAAAATTAGTGTCAGAAGCTCTAACCTGCCCCCACCTGCCCCCGACCAACAGGCTGGGCCAGTACAGGGGATGGGTGGACAGGGTACAGTCATGGGAGAGCTGGCTCTCAGAGTGGCTGCTAAGGAGGAAAGTCCATGCCCAGTCAACTCCACATCCAGTCCAGATGACCCACCCCTCAGCTGCCTTGCCTCCTCCCTCCACATGAACTCACACATATTACACAYGCACATAGCACACCAGACAAATCACACACACACACATCCTCCAACTCTCCTCAGCTACCCCCACCTCCCTCCCATGTGAGCTCACACATGTGTAATATACACACAGCACACACATGCATGCACGCACACACACACCCTATGCTAATGCTGCTGGCCCCTGTGTATGCCCTGGTCCCAYAGCTCAATGCATTTCCAACAGAGAGACTCAGATTCGCAGTTTTATTGTCTCCAGGGTTTGAAACCTGTCTGTGTAACTGGACACAAAGAAGGATGGGGCCAGGGATCARGAAATAGGTGTCCCACATAGGACCACTCAACTACAGCTGAGACACATTTCCTTCACCTCCAAGACACCATGTAGGAGACAGGCATGGGGGCCTGGGCCACCAGGAAGGTGTGGTCAGTGTGGGGACCGGGGACTGACTGAAGCCCTACATCGTGAGCAGGCATTTCCTCTGAACTCTGAGCTCCTGCTCCCTGTGAAGCAGGTGAGTCTGGCTGTCTTACCGTAGCCTGAGGTGAGGACAAGGACACAAGATGGGAGCTAGTTGGCACCACTCCCCTCACTCCTWGGTTCCCTTTGTCTTCAGAGGGGTTTCCTAGAATGCAAGGGCCCCATGAACTCAGAGGGAGGTGGCAGCCATCTTGTGGCTGGAAAGGGAGCATACCTGGGGAGCTTGAGTCTCTATAAAGGAGGAGGAAGAGGCCAGGGGTCTGCTGGAGATGACTTGGAGGAGGTGCTGGAAGCAGCTGTCCAAGCCAGGGCTACAGCCTCAGTGGTACCTCTCCCCTTCCTTCCATCCCCCAGGACGTCAGGTTCCTGTTTCCTCTCAAGGTCAATCAGGCAGGTGGGAAGGGATCCTTCTGGGAGCCAAGTTTCATTTCCACCAACTCCTCCCCTTCCAGGTGAGAGGATCCCAGTTTGTCTAAACTTCTGTCTGGGTTCCCAGCTCAGCACCTCCCAGAGTAGCCAGTGGAGGCTCCTTGCCCTCTAGGAAGGCCATGGTGCCCTGTTTTTGGCTCCGGAAGGCCAGCTGTAAGGGTGTGCAGCTTATTCCATCCTGGACATCCAGCTGGGCACCAGCCTTGACCAGAACTTTGAGGATGGCTGTGTAATCTTGGAGAGCAGCCAGGTGGGCAGGTGTCCAACCCACCTTGTTGCGGGCACAGACATCTGCATGATGCTCCAGGAGGTTGATGACGCCCAGGAAGGCACCCCTCTGGACCACCAGGTGGAGGGGTGTCCAGCCCAACTTCTCGGTGGCATTGGGGTCAGCCCCACACTGCAGCAGTGCTAACACCACTACTTCCTCCCTGTATCAGGCAGCCAGGTGCAGGGGTGTCCAGTTCATACCTCCAAGAGCATCCAAGACWGCATGGTTCTCAGCCAGCAGGTGGATGATCTCAGGTGGCCCTTGTAGGTGGCTAGATGCAGGGGTGTCCAGCCCTGGTGGGTGGGAAGCTCAAGGCTGGCCCCATACCTGAGAAGCATCTTGCAGATGAGGTACTTGCCCCTGGTGGCAGCAGTATGCGTGGGCCATAGCCATTTTCGTCAAGGGCGTCAGGGGCCGCCCCACTCTTCAGCAGGTGTTGGATGGCCCTCAGTTTGCCCTGCTCTACTGCCAGGTGCAGGGCTGTCTGCAGGTTTCTCTGCTGAGCATCCAGCTCAGTCCCCTGTCCTGTCAACAGCTTGACCAGACTGACATGGCCAAAGTAGGCAGCCACATGCAGGGGAGTCCTGCCCTCAACCTCACGTAGGTTGGAGTCAGCTTGACGGGAGACCAAAATCYGTGTCACATTCTCAAAATTGTTCTGTGTGGCCAGGTGGATTGGGGTCCAGCCCTAATGCTCCTGAGCATCCACGAGGGCCCCATGGTCCAGGAGCAGGMGGGCAGTGTGGTCATCCCCATTCTGGGCTGCAAAGTGCAGTGGGGCCCAGCCATCATCATCCACCAGGTTGGCATCAGCACCATGTGCCAGGAGCAGAGCGCAGAGGTCAGGCTGCTGGTCCTGGGCGGCAATGAGGAGAGGTGTGTAGCCAGAGGCTGTGTGGCAGTCCACATCAACCTCGAGTGCCAGGAGCAGCCTCACCTGCTCCACACTTCCCTGGACCACCAGGAAGTAGAGGGGAGTGACCTTGTTCTCATAGATGGGCAGCAGTTCCTCATCCGTTGGATCCAAACTCTCGCTGTCAGAGTTGCAGGACCCTCTTCAAGTAGTCTCCTGAGTCTGTTGGAGGAAGATATTGAAAAAAGAGGTCTTTGATCTGTCCAGAAGTCATCTTGGCCATCCCCCTGCCTCTTGGAGGTACTATCTGGGAGCAGAGTAGAGAGGTGAGGGCTATATCTTCCTGGTATCAAGGACCTCTGCATTCTTCCCTGTCACTGTTAGATTTCCAGGTTTTGTTTTGTTTTCACTTTTTGTCTTGAAGAGCTGAGCCTGCCGTTCTCCTCTTGCATAGAGGAGTTCAGAGAGCCAGAGCTGGGGAGGCCTGGGTACAAACCCTCACTCCAGCCCTTAACATCTCCCGACCTCAGCCTGTTCTCTGCTTCTTTGAGCCTCTGTGTTTGGTTCAGTGATGAAGAATGCTCAGCTCATTCTACAGTGTGAGGACAAGTTAGGGACATAAGAACTGGCAGGGAATGGGCTTGCAGGAGGTAAGTCCATCCAATGGGAAATATATCTGTGGTTGGACCTGTATGATSTAAAGTCCCTCTGAGGTCTTCAGGCCTCACTTCCTCCTGCTCTACCCAGTGGCCTATTACAATCACGAACAACCGTGATCACTGGCCAGGCCCAAACCTCTCATTTGTCTGGGTGGACACCATGGATCTGTAGTTATCTATAATTTTTTCAATCTCCCAAATAATTCTGCAGTCCATGCTGAGAACCAGTGCTCTATCTCTTGGGTCAGGAATGGGGGAATCTGGTCTTGCCAGGACTCAGACCTGAAGGGGAAGCAAAGCCAGGAATCCCAGGGCATGTGTGTTTCTTGACCGTGCAGCTAGGATCTGGAGAGGGCCCTTCCACCCTGGATATGTGACAGGCCTGGGGTGAGAGCATTAAGGAGGGTGGGGAAAGGGTCTGATTGGACTCCACTTTCTCCTCTCTCTGAATTCTGGTCCCACTGTAGTACCCTGACTCACCGCTCCTGGCTGACCTCCTTGTGGACCTGGGGAGACAGAACYGGCAGATACAGGGCAGATGAGCAGGGCAGTTCTCACTGTGCCATCTTCCCTCCTCCCCTCTCTCCAGTGCTCCCTGACACCATCCAGCATGCACATCCCACCATGATCTGGGTGACTTTCCTTCTAAGCTATTATTCCTCCAGCTGTGCCCAGAGGCAAACACTATGTAGAGGAGATCTGCCCAGAAAAAAGGAGACCCAGGGCCTGGCATTCCCTTGGGGCCACCTGAACTACAGGATAGATCTGTGGGTTCAGCAAGGAGTCCCCTGCTAGCTCTCAGAGAGGAGCAAGAGAGCAGAGAGATGATGCAGATGCCTATAGTGCGACACCTTAGGAGAGCAGTGCCCTTYGTCTGTAAACCCTATGCATGTGAGAGGGGTTTTGTCCTTCCCAGGGCTTCTGAGCCATGGCACCACTGGCCCTTGCAGCGCCTTCATGCAAATTAGGAAATGTTGTTCCCTCTGGTTGTAGGCAGCCCCCAGCTGGGCTCGTGGCCTGATGAGCAGAGTGAGGTTGGCTTTTAGTCTCCACTTGCCCACTCAGCCAGGTGACCTTGTCAAAGACACAGCCTCTGCACACATGCCCTGCCAGAGACCCTGGAGGTCCACAGTGGGCTCCAGGGAGCACAGGAGTGGGCTTTCACAGTGTGTGCACCCACCTCTTGGGGCTGGTGCAGTGATGGCTTACAGGACACCTTCCTGGCCAGGGTCTCACTCCTGGGGTCTGTCACAAAGTTCTGGAGCAGGGACAGTAGCATGTCTGTCTCGATTGTGATGTCTGCTCCGCAAGGGAGAGAGATAAAGAAGACAACGTTAGCCAGCAGTCCTGTCCCATTTTAGATACTCTGATGTTTCCTGTGTCCCCACAAAAGCCCATTCCTGGGCTCATGTATGTCCATATATGCACACAAGGAGACAGAGTCCCAGTCTGGCTTGGCAAGGACACATTTGTCAGGTCACTGACCTTGGGGATCAATCCTTTTCCATTAAAGTAGGGGGCAGGCCCAGGTGGTCTCTAAGGTGCTCACACATGGACTAGATAATTTCATGTCCCTTCCAGGCCAGTGACCTCATGTGATGGGATGTTTTCAAGGATGCTGTACCCCTGAAAGGACCCAGGACTGGCTGGAGGGCCCAGCAGCAGGCCAGGTTCACAGGTTGCAGCTTCTGCCACCTTCTGTAGGTATACACCTGAGAACCCACTTAACAGACCTCCGTCCTCAGCTGTCCTGGTCCTGTGATGCAGATTCTGCCTCAGAAATCTCTCCAGGCACTAGTCCCATGGGTATCTGCACCGCTCTCAGGAATGAGCTGGGGCCTAGTMGTCCACCCTCCTCTTCCCACCCATGCCCCCCTTGGCCCTAGACAGGGAAGGCTAGAGGAACACCTAGAAARCATGAACTCTTCTTGGGGTCCTGGTCCCAGCAGCGCCTCATCAGGTCCACCATCTGCTGGGCCTCGCCTGGCCATCATCAGAGACAGGTTGCAGGGAGAGCCGCATACCTGCAGCCACTCTGATGATGACAGTCATCAGGTTGAGTCCTGTGAGAGGAGTCCCAGGCTGAGCAGGTGCTAGGATGCAGGGGCAGAGGGGTCTGGCAGGAGTGTGGGGGCTAAGAGGATCCCAACACAGTGTGTACTCAGGAGGGGCTCTATAAATGCTCCGTGAGTAAACAGCTAGATTTGGGACCCACTTGAGTCTCTGACTTGAGCATCTCAGTCTCTGGTCTAGCTCTAGCCCCCTTCCAGGTGAAGACTGGACATGAACCCAACTGCAGGCTTCTGCCGTCCAAAGGCAGCAGGGARGACACACAGGCCAGGCTGAAGGCTTTGGCTCTCCATCTGGCAAGGCTGTCCACGTTGCCTCACAAGCTCTCACCTGCATCTGGGTGGCAGGGGTCGGGGAATGGCCAGCAAGAGCACCYTGGGGACAAGGAACTTGGAGCCACCAAACAAGCCCTGGGCTCACTTTTACTATCACATGAGCTCTAGATACAAGGGGGCAGAAGGAAGGAGAGCGAGGTGGGAGTCCCTGAAGAGCATTTGGCCTCCCGACACAAACCTGTGGCTTATTCTGCCCTCACTCACCTCAGACCTCCCACAGCCCTTTCCAGGACCCCAGCTGAGGGGACAGCCTCTGCCCCAGACACAGAGCCACAGCCATCTCTACCTGAATTTGGTTTCTTCTGAGTGAGGAGCTCCCAGATGACAATCCCAAAGCTGTGATGAGGAAAATGTTCCCTGAGAGACCGGGAAACCCACCATCACCCCAACCAGGACCCATGAACCCCACAATCCCAAATAAGGCCTCTCCAGCCAGGRTCCTCCCAGCCCTCCCCTTCCACCAGGGCTTATGGGGACCTGGTGGGGTGGCGGCAAAAAGCWGCCTCCTGGGTATGTGACAAGGAGCCCAGTCACCCACTCACCTAMACACATCGTACTTGGGCCTCGTGGCCTGGTTACTGTCCAGGAACAACTCAGGGGGATATAGCTGAGCRTGCCCCACAGAGCCAACCTTTTGATGCACTGCATCTGGGTCAACCGTTCTATCCACTTGGACAGACCAAAGTCTGAAATCTGGGAGAAARCCAGGTGGCAGGGATGGGTCGTGATAGAGCCATGTCTCTAGGAGCTGGCTTTGGTTTCTCATCTTCCTACTAGGGTCCTCTTCCAGAATAGGTCCTCTCCGACACTGWCTCCCTGCTCTACCACTACCACCAGGATGGTCTTGGACAGGTTACTTATCTTCTCAGAACCTCTGTTTCCTCATTGGTGAAATGGAAATAATATGAATTCTTAACTCAGAGGGCTGGTACAGGATTAAATTTGCTTGTATGCAGAAGCACTCAGAGCACATCAGGAGCTCTTGGCAGGTCCTGCCATTTTCCAGAGGGACAATTTATAGTAACCACCTTTAGTGATGTTCTGTCCATCATGGCTCTCCTGGCCCTGAAACACTTAGGCCACGAATGTTGATCCCCTTTGCTCCCCACCATGGGGTCTTTCACTCACAGATTGTCCATTCATTGAGATTCAACCAGAAGAGATCCTGAGTCACCCCTCCACRCACTCTACCCCCACCAGGGCAACTTCAGATAGGGTGTACATTCAACAGTGAAATAGTTTCACAAATGATTATATATACTTGTCACTGGGTTAGCAATAGGAAGAAACAGATCTAATGAGGTATACAACCATTAGAGGCCTGAGGGACAGATCAGGGAAGACCTCCCTGTTACTTTGCAAGCTGAAGATGACTAGGCCTTTGCCAGGTGGATAGAGGAGTGGGAGGAGAAGCAAAAGTCCAGAGACAGAAAAGAGTATGGCATGATCTAAGAACTGCAACAAATGTCCATTATGACCTTTCATGAAGATTATCTCATTTATAAAACTTACCCTAAGCCAAGAAAGACAGGAGTCGAGATTCTCCTATCCATTTTAGAATTGGAAAACTGAGGCCCACAGAGCATTATTATAAACATCCTGATACCCAGCCTCAGGCACCACATTTGCTACTTATTCATCTCTTGTTCAGATGTGTCAGTATTTGTCCAAGAAGAGCCTCTACCATGGAAAGGGGGCAAAGAGACCCACAGGGGCCCCACCTTGACATGCATGTTGCCGTCCAGCAGGATGTTGCCTGGCTTCAGGTCTAGGTGGAGCAGAGGTGGCTTAATGCTGTGAAGGAAGTTCATGGCCAAGCTGGTCTCATGGATGATGCAGAACTTGAGTTGCCAGCAGAGTCTGTGGGTGGGCAGCATCTTCTCCAGGGAGCCATTGGTCATGAACTCCATCACAATGCCCAGGGGCTGCTTGCATATCCCGTAGATGGACACAATGTGCTGAAACTTGATTTTCTCCATTTTGGTTGCTTCTTCAATGAGGCAATTTACATCAGAGCTATGGAGAGTGGGGAGCAAGACATGGACATGGGAAYCCATCAATTAGTAGAACAACCAGCAGAATACACAAACTAGGCATGCTGCCACACTGAGGGGACCCAGAGAAGCACCAGGATCTTACAACCCCTGGAGGAAAAACAGAGGCATGAAGTGAGGTCCAGCAGGCAGCATAAATGAAAGCTCTGTTGGCCAGTGGCGACAAGTCAGGAAGCAGAGGAGTTTGCAGGCTGAGGAGCCAGCCCGTTCTATAGGGAAGACCACGGAAAGCACGTTTCAAAGCTTCCCATTTACTCTGGGTGCTTTTTTTTTTTTTTTTGTATGTTTATCTTCCCCAGCAGATTTTGAGCCTCTGGAGGATTGATATTATGCCTCATGCTTCTGTTTCAAAATATCATCTATTGCCATTTTGAATATGAAAGTAATATATATACCTTATAAGAAACCTTGGGAATACAGAGAGCTAGAAGAAAGAAAATACATCACCAGTAACTCAACCAGGCAGACTTGGCCTCTGTAAATCTTTTAGTATTTTATAACACATTTTCAGGGTGTCTCTTTCCCTTTCTCCCCTCCTGCTCCCTCTTCCTCCCCTCTCTCTCACCATCAGATGGCACATGAAGCCCAAGCACTTCCTGTGTTTTTATTCTCCTAAAGGATGCTTTTTAATGGTTTGCAGAATTGCATTTTATGGATGAACTATAATTATTCCTCCCTGTGCTCCCCACAACACATTGCCATGCATCACACAATACATCTTTGTTGAAGCAAACTGAAGTCAAGACTTAAGGGAAGGCCTCACAAAAATAAGCATCTGCAAACCCTCTCCTTCCTCTCACTGTATGCACCCACGGAACAGTAAATATGCAAATTGTTACAGGCTGTTTGGGGCTTGTGGGGATAGGGATTAAGGAGAAATGGCTTTTTTAAAAGCACAGTATTTGCAAAACTTGATGGCACTACAATCAGACRCTGCTGGAGATGTGCTCACAGGGCCTCCCTGGGAAGCCAACGTGAGCCTGACCTCCAGGAGAACTCTCCCGGCACCTGAGCAGGCTGGCTACTGGGCTTCTCCTGTTCTCCTCCTCACTTCCCTACTCTTCCAGGTCTCTCCTCCCCAGCTCTGTGATATTTTTGCTGTCTCTTCTCTTCCTCTTGGATTCACAGGAACTAGAATGACCTTTGTGGTGAAGTGTGGGATCTGGGGGTTCCATTCTTCTGACTCCAAATCCCAGCTTCACCACTAGTTATATCTGCCTGACYTTGGGGAAGTGAATTCTCGGAGCCTCAGTTTCTAAACTGTAAAATGGGAATAAGTCCGGCCTTGCACAATTCCCATTCATGCCCAGTCCTCTTGAAAGAGTTGCTGCTGCTTCACCTCTGGTGTCCGTACTTCAGTGCACACAGGCGGCCTCACGTACTGACACATTTCTAGCTCTCGGTTGACTGTTCAGATGTCTTGCTCTTTGTTTTAAAATTCTCTCCCCTAAGCCATGGGTCCACCTCCTCCTGGGTTTCTCCCTCTTATTCTGGTCCCTCCCTCTGTTTCCTTCGCAGGCTCAGAGGACTTGGCCACTGGACTGGAGTTTAGACATTCTCCTCTTCTCTTCTCACTGAAGTTTCTCCAGTCAGCCTTGACATCTCTATACTGAGTGTGTCTAGAGCTGAACTCCTGATTCTCCCTAAAACCTGCCCTTCCCTTGGCCTTCCTCATCTCAGTGAACAGGGTCTCCAACCTCTGATTCTCTGCGAAGCCCCTGGCTGCTTCTGGACTCTTCTCTCACTCCCATGCCTGGGCCCTTGGCAAGTCTTCTCAGCTCTGTTTTCCAAATTCAGCAAAAGTCTGACTGCTTCTCACCACCTCTGCCCATTTGCATCTTGGCTCAAGCTTCCTGCTTTTCCCTCTTTCCCATTACAGTCTACAGGGTAGCATGTCACGACCTTGCTAAGGGCCCTCCAATGGCTCTCTTCTCCTTCACAGTAAAAGCCTAAGTTCTTACAATTGACAAAGCCCTCCATGATCTGCCCCATTCTTCAGTCTTACATCACTGACATCATCTCCTAAGCACTCCCTTTCTCACTCTGCTCCTGCCACATGGGCCTTCTGCTGTCCTGCCCTCATATCAAGCATGTTCCCACCCCAGGACCTTTGCATGTGCCCTTTCCTCTGCCTAGAACACTTACCTCTACCACGTGATTACTCCTTCATCTGCTTCAAATATCTACTCAAATGGCACCTGACTAGTAAATATTTCACAAACAAGTCTATATAAAATGGCAAGTCTATATAAAATGCCCCATCCCTTCATACATAGCTGGTCTCTAAATTAATATTTCTAAACTGAATGTATTCTTAGAAGATCAGATCACTCTTTAGATATTTTAATCAAGAAAATGGTCCAAAGTGCTATAGATAAACATTTTATGTTTATTGTTTTGGTCTTGYTTGTTTATTGTCTTCCTCCATTAGATTATAAACTCCACAGGGCAAGAACTTGTTTTTGTCCACTTAGTTAGTGCCGAGAATGAATGAATCTCATCCYTGCCCCAGCTTCGGTCTCCACCAAAAACAAACCTTAGTATTGTAGCTGCTACTTTTACTCTGAAACCTATTTGGTGACTCTTCTTGGCTCTTTAAAGTGGCTTTACATTCAACAAGTATAACGYTGGACTTGGGGTCCTCCTTCCCGACTGGGCCTCTTTTCACGTTTCCTTTTTGTCAATGACACTGCTCAGTAAATATTTACTGAACACTAATGATGTGGCAGACCCCAGGGGTGGAGCAGTGGACCAAAGACAGGCGACCCCACCCCCGAGTCACAGAATGGGTGGTCCTGGGGACCTCTGCTCCCTTGGCAAGTTGAACATCACATGCACCTGACAACCCTCTTCCTCAAGGTGCCCCCCATAGCCCACCCAGCACCAYGCAGGGATGGTATTACCTCCTACATATTGCTTAGTCCACTCCTTTCCCCATCTCTGTCACCAATGCTCCTGTGTGGGCCCCATCACCTCTTGCCTGAACGAGGACAACAGTCTCCTATCTGGGCCAGCCTCGCTCCACCCCGTCCTCCACACAGAGGCCTGATTGATTCCCCAGCCACTGCCCCTCCTGGCGGAAGCTCCTTCGTCCCCACATCAGCCACAATGGCCTTGTTCCCATCCTTGCTCTTACACGACCCTCCTGCCCAGGTCCCTTGCACACTGGGGGCCTGTTCTTGGAAAACCTCCTTGCCCGCTTCCCTCTCACTCATTCCTCACATTTCAGCTGGGGTGAYGTCCTTAGGAGGGACATTAGCTTCCTCTGAGCTCAGTCAAACATTCTGTCAGTGTATCTGAGGGTGGCAAAGCTCCCTTCCTAYCCGTCTCACAGTCGCAATTTACTTGTACACATGAGGTTACCAGGTGGGTGTCCTTCTCCCTCCAGCCTGTGAGCTCTAGGAGAGCAGGGACACATCTGTCACAGTCATCACTACTGCCAGGGTCAAGTACAGTGTCTGAAACGKAGTCAATAAGTGGAGAGCAATAAGTGTTTGCAAACTGTTTGACCAGATGGGAGAAGGACCCAGCACAGCAATGCYACGATTCCAGTGGAGCACATCACAGTCAGTAGCCATTAGTCACCACTGGTCCCTTTACCCCTTTCCACTGGGAATCCCTGGAACTTGGGGGGAAACTCAGCTGGAGGTATCATTGTTGTAACCGTGTTGTCACATTGAAGCCATCCATTTCCTTTTGTCCTTTATTTCAAAGGTTATAAATGATTTGGACAAATCCTAGAACCATCTGACCCTATCCAGAAACCAACAGGTGGAGGTGGGAGGGAGATAGTCTCACTCCCACTCTCCACGGGGTGGGTGAGGGTCTGCGAATTAGGGAAGTGTGTCTGGAGAGTTTGCTTGGTGACCATAGAGAACATGACAATAGCACCCAAGTAAGAAACCTTCAGGCATCTATTGATGTCCCTGGACCTCTGGGAGGAGGACATGGSTTTTGTGCTGAGACTTAACACTGCAAGTGCCTCCTGCATGGTGACAGGGTGGAGGCACACAGCATGTGCATGTGAACCCAATGGGAACACACAATGAGAAAGAGATRGTAAGCAAGGCATGCAGACTGTAGCAGTGGTGCACGTGACAAAAGCCAGGGACAAAAAATGGACAGAGATTCTAGCACCCCAGACTTGACCTTCCAGCAGGACCTGAATGAGAGCCTGGCAATGACCTGCACAGGCTACCAGACCAGCAGACTGAGCAGTCTCCGGCCCCCAAGTCTCCCCAGTCCCGTGCAGCTGGGCAGGACCCAACCCAGATGGCCATGRGGAAAGAATGTGCTACACCTCTCAAGAAGCCCAGTGTAGCCCTGAGAGTGTGGGTGGGGTGGAGTGTGCCAGGGGTTGCCAAGAGCAGGCATCACGCCCCAGGGGGAGGAGGCAGGACAAGTTTGAGAAGTCAGGTGAGATAAAGGTGGCTTTGGAGGGTAGTTCCTGCTTGCCTCTGACCTCTGCTGATTCCACAGACAGGCATCAGGTGCCTTCTTATTTCAGGAGCAAAGAGAGCCATGGCTGGGCCTGGGAAGCTCAGGTACCAGGTAGAACTTAGAAACACTGGGGACAACCCCAGCCTCAACCCCAGCCCATCCCTCTCTCAGCGTTTCCTAGGCCAGAAGCTGATCTGGCCTCAGTTTCTCCACTGTGAAAGGAGAAGGAGAGGCACAGGGTGGCAGGTACCTGGTGGCCTCGTGCTGGAGGCAAGGGGAGCACTTGATGGCATACTGGGTCCTCCAGTGCTTGTGTCAAGCTTGGAACACCTGACCAAAGCCACCGCTGGCTACTTGATGCCAGTTGTCCTCAAAGTCATCTCGGGTGAAGATGGTGAGCCTGCCCAGCTGCTGCTCCAGGGGGCTGGCGGCCATCAGGTCAGTCGCGCTGGACCGCCCTGGCCCTTCCCCACACTGCACACTCCTGGCAGCCTGAAGGAGCCAGGAGGCACCCTTCCTCAGTCTCAACCATCCATTGATTTTCCCCAGCTCTCAACCCCAGAGCTAGGGAGGGGTGCAGGGCAAGGACAGCATCCCGAAGCTAGAAGAAAAAGTACAGCCAGAGAAGTTGGCCCCATTTTATTTAGATTAGTGCTGAGTGGAGATTGGTTTACGTTTTCCTGTAACTCAGATGTAGAAGGTCTTTGAAGGGTTCAGGACTGTGCTAGGAGTCTCGTTTCGGAGCATGGAACCTAGACCCCACCCCTCCTCAGCAAGTATGGAGTGCAAAAACTTAAAGGTCTGAATCTGTTTGTCAGCTGCTTTCATGCTTCTTTTGTTACTGTTGGGTTTTGTTTGTTTGTTTGGCATGTTAAAGGTCGCCAAGGAGGGTCAGCAGGAAGGGTGTGGGTATGGGGTGGAACTGCTCTGCTGGGAGCTTCCCTTCTGGGTGATGCTCTTGACCCTGACCACATAGGAATCAGACCCCTGGCCTGGGGCCACCATGGGGGAGGTGGGCTCCTTGGCTCCATTATCAGGGGTGGATAGCAGCTGGAACACGGCCAGGCCCTCTTCTGGAAGGAGGACTTCGGACAGTGTTGAGCTGTTGAGAATCTGGCCTGAGAGYTCAGAGCAGAGACTTGGGAGGGAGGGGAGGAAAAGTCCCTGTAGAGTCCAGACTTGGGTGCTGGACGGATAGAAGCCATCCTGGTGGGTTAAGGTAATAGGATATGGAGGCAGCCCAGGGAAGCACTAGTAACACATTGTGATGGGCTCCTTTCTTTCAACTGTGTGCTTCCTCGCTCTGTCCTGGCCTCCTTTGAAAGTGGAAACTTACAGAGAAGGAGGTCCACCCCGGGGATGCAAGTTGAAGGGGAAGGGAGTTTCCTGGTGCTGCCAAGTGGGTCTGAAGACCAGGAAATGGCTCTCATCTCAGAGACCCTCAGAGCAGGGACAATTAGAAGTGCTTCTACACTTGGGTCTCCCCAGGGGCAGTGACAGAGTGAATCCTTGCCCAGAGGCAGTTGCTGCTGGGGGAACTATGGCAGAGCATGGCAGGGTTAGCTATCTCCCACCTCCAGCGGGGCAGGTGGACTGAAGTCTACCAAGTTCARGTTTTTGGAGCATATTACCAGAGAAGAAAATGTCTGGCCTTAAACCCAAACCTGTAGGGTCCCTCATGCATGCCACAAAACCACCAGAGTCCCAGGAACAGCAAGAGCATGACAAGTGAACAGAGACTCCTGGTGAAAACTAGAGAACTCGTTCTTTTGATAACATCTTATGAGCCGCCTCCAGGAAGAATTCTAGAAAGCAGATCAAAGACTGAAGATTGGGCCTGGAGACAGTTGTCATGGAGACCAATGATGGCCACTATTAACTCAGCATGAACTTGATTCTGGGATCAGTAGCAACTTACTGCAAGTGGTTTATAGACATATTGAAATCTACAACAATGTTATGAGGTCAACATCTCCCTATTTACAAATGAGACAAATAGGCTGGAGGGCCTTCAGTTGTCAGTGGTCACATAATTAGGAAGGGGTAGTTGATACTCAAACATAGTTCTCTTGGTGCCTGTGGAAATGGTCTGGTATAGGAGGAGACAGGATGGGAGGGCAGAATTTTAGGAATATGTGGGAAAGTGGTGGCGGTGGAGGGGAGTCATGCTCCCTTGGAAGAGTATGGAGGTGGTGCCATCGGAATCCAGAGCAGGACATATCCCAGAGACATTGTCAGAGGGAAGTCCCCAGCTTGCTTTAGCTGGAGCGAGGCAAAGCATGAAAAAACTTACTGCCACTGGAGCAGCCCTGCCTGTCCGTGAGGAGTCCATGGAGCTTGGAAGACAATAGAGGACATCAACGTTAGGGAGAGCAGGAGGTCAAGGTGAGGCCTTTCACCTCTTGCTGAGTAGGTGAATGTGGAGACTGGAGAGGTAGACAGCTGCCTGGCCCTKAGGGCGTCTGACTCAGGCTCTCATCTCTGACATCAGCAAGATCCGCTTAGGCCCTAGAGGAAATAGCAGGTGAACAATCTGCCTCCATTCAGCAGTTCCTCTTGGCCCAGCTACCTCTGTAGCAGTTCTCCAGGAAGAGACAGAACACGGAACTACCAGCTGCTGTGTGCAGGGACTGTCACAGGAACATTGAGGGAAGGAGGCATTGTCCCTGGAGGAGGAGGCAGGCTGCCATGGTCCCTCCATGAGTTCCTCATAGGGTGGAGGGGCAGGCTCATGCAGAAGCCAGAGTGTTCTGCTGTCCCTCATCCCTGTTGGAACCGCCAGACAGTGGGTTCCAGCACTCCTGGGGCCTCTGAGGAATCAGACAAAATAGATATATCAAAGCATTTACCTACAGCACCTGGGCCTGTGAGACTGGGTGGGTGCTCCTCCTCCTATCTTCTATCTTCTAAAATGGGCCAGGACAAAGCCTAGTGGTCTTTCAATAAGCTCCAGRAGTGTAAGGTCACAGAGGCAAAGAATTCCTGGGTCCCTGAAGATTAAGTGGGGTGAGGTTGAGGGACTTGGGAAGGAGCCAGGTCAACTCAGAGACTGCCAACTTCTTTCCAGTGGTAGGACTGCTGAAGTGGCTGGGTCCTGCCAGTTTGGGAAGTCCACAGCCAGTGGGTAGGGAGAAGCTGGCTGCAGGAATGCAGCACCTTCAATTGCGCATGCCTACTCCAGAGCAGGTGTGGATAATGAGATGCTTGTGGTCTAGCTATGACCCACACACACCAGAAAGGACTGAAGACATGCTCTAGCCATGGGAGGTTTGCCTTAAGAGGCTCCTGAGTCCTTCCTAGCAACTGTTATCAATGCATTTTATTTTGAAAGATTGAGGATGGAAATTTTCTGGACTTGGAATTATTAAGGGAATTGTATATGCGTGTGTGTGATTGTCTTTGGGGAACCTAAATTTTCAGGCTGCCACTCCCAGACCAGTGAGCTGGTGGAGCCTTTCTGCAATTCTGTGGGTGATATTGAAAACGGAGGCCAGCCTCTCCCCTAACCGGAAWGGCAAGCTATTTGCATATGGAGAAGTTCCCTGATCTGTCCCCATTCTCTGCCCTACAGACATGTCACGGGGGACACCAGGGCRTGCTCTGGCAGGCTCCAACCTCTCGTAGCCTGTGTGCTGAGGTGAGGGCAATGTTAGTCAGGATAAAGGAATGTGCATGAAGCTGGAACATCTGCCCAGGAAGCAGATTCTTCAGCAAGAAAGGGGTGGATTGGGGCAATAGGAGCAGGGGTTAAGGACTGTGGGGCACTCTACTTAGCAGTTGTTGGGCTTGGCCATATTCCCAGATATCTCTGGGTTTCTTCACCTAGAAAATGGGTTGATGTTAGTAATTCCCATTCCAAAAGGTTGCTRTAAGGATTATAACCTTTTAAAACGCACCTCAACAAATGCCTATAGGCCAAAAGTGAACCAACTGAAGCCTCATGTCCAATCCCCAAATAAATTCCAAAAGGGGCATGCATTTAAATATAAAAAGTAAAATTATAAAAATTRTAGAAGAAAGTATTCTTGCTCTGCRTAAGGCAAAAACACAATTCATAAAATAAGAAACCGATGTTTTGAACTTGTCAAAATCAAAAACTTCATTCTGTGAACAACCCTGTGAGGGTGGTGAAAAGATAAACTACAGACAGGAAAAAAGAAGTATGTGCAAACCACATATTGGATAAAGTGCTCATTTCTAGAGTATAAAAAGAAGGCTTCAGAATTAATAGAAAACAAACAAACCAACAAACCAACAAAAAACCTCACACAGGATCCAATTAGAAAATGGAGAAATGACAGAAACAGACATTCTACTTATTGAAGAGGACATGCAGATGGCAAGTACGTGCAGGAAGAGATACTCAGTATCATTAGCTATGAAGCAAATGCAAACGGAATCCACAATGAGATATCATTACATATATACCAGAATGGCTAAAAATAAAAATAAAAAATACAGTGGTARCAGTGAATGCCTTCAAGAAAGCAGAGACACTGGACAACTCCTGCATTGTTGGCAGGGATGCACAATGGTTCAGCCACTTTAGAAAGCAGTTTGTCAGTTTCTGGTAAGACTATACATAMAATTCCATACCACCCAGCAATTGCACTCTGGGGAATCAATCCCAGAGAAATGAAAACTTATGTTCACACAAAAACCTGTGTATGAATGCTCATTGCGGCTTTATTTGTCATAACTAAAATAAGAAAACAACCCGATKACCATCCACAGGTGCATGGTTAAACAAACCGTGACATGTACATACTGTGGAACACTGCTCAGCAGCTACTGATGCACACAGCAGCTTAGGTGAGTCTCCAGGGAACTGCACTGAGTGAAAAAAAAAATCTCAAAGGTTACATGCTGTATAATTCCATTTATATTACATTCTTGAAATGACAAAATTGTAGAGCTAGAGATTAGTRGTTGTCAGAGGTGGTGGTAGGGAGGTGGGTGTAGCCATAAATGGATGGGGCCAGGGATCCTCGTGATGAAACTGCTCCGTATTTTCAGTATGAGGATGGGCACATGAATTTACATATGTGATTAAACTTCACCAAGCTAAACTCACACGTGTGTGTGTGCAAACACACATGAATGTGCACACACACATGAATATGCACAAAATGATAAAATCTAAGGTCTGTAGATTGTGTCACTGTCAATTTCCCAGTTGTGATGTGGTGCTATAGTTATAGCAGATGTTACCTTTGGGGAAAATGGGGTTAAATGCATAAGAGATCTCTGCATTATTTCTAAAACTTGCATGTTTATCTATGATTATCTCAAAATAGAAGTTTTAAAAAATTCATATAAAGCCTGCCTCCTCCTCCTCCTCCCCCTTCTACTTCTTGTTCTTATTACCAGGTAATGTCACATTCTTGGGAGCAAAGTATTTCCATAATAGGTGAAAGGAGTAAGGCAACATAGAT